CATTGGACGGTTTGGCTTAGCTTTACCTAAGCAAAATAAATAAAAAGAATGAAAATCAATCTATGATGCATGACTATGACGATTAAATATACACTTAAATGTATGAGATCCCCTCAGGGTCTAGAAATCTAATTCAATTTTCTATTTTTCACGGAGTCATCAACTTTTAAAATTGAAAATAAATATCTACACAACATGACTCAAACTACCTGGAAAATGTATGTACACACGTGATACGGGATGTGGTTATACATGTCATCCTTTCAATTCCCAGAACTTCGCTCTGATGGTGTGTATGATATCTCTCCCATCACAGACTATCTGCTCTCTGTTACGGCCAAATTACTTCCTGGTTTGTTAAATCTTCATAGCATGATTGTAAACTTTTGGGTTTTAAAACATATGAAATAAATATATGGAACAGCTAGGTTATAAGAAACGTAGGTATGCAATATAGACATTGGACGGGTTATCAGAAACGTAGGTATGCAATATAGACAACGAACGGGTTATCATAAACGAAGATTTGAAATAAAGACATTGAACGGGTTATCATAAACGTAGGTATACAAATGATAGGGAGTGGTTTATCAGAAACGCAGATATAAAGAAAAGGATTATAAGAAATGTAGTTATAAAATAAAGACATGAAATGGGTTATTAGACATGCAGCTATAAATAGATATGGAACATAGACATCGAATAGGTTATCAGCAATGTAGATAAGACAAGGAACGGGTTATTAGAAATGTAGATATATAGTTAAGAACAAAGACATAGAATGGGATTCTTAGACATGTAGATATGGAATAAGGACATGGGACAGATTATTAGAAATGCATGATATATGAAATCAAGACATGTAACCGGGTAACGTCAATGGGAAATTATTTCCAAAATTAACTTATAAAATATATCAAATTATAAGTAGTTGTGATATAAATGATATGCAACCTTTTAGTGTAGATGAATGCATGCAACAAATCATGTACATTGATACAAGACATCCTGTTTACTTTCTGTCATAGGTTTTTCCGGTTCAATGAATAATTTTGCATTTCTATGTGTAACCTGACGTGAGGAAGACCACGTAGCCAGCTCGGTATATATTAAGGCGCGGTGGTCTTATATACATATGCATGTACTCATGTAATTTGAAATTACCTGAACTCATAGTTTTCTTAAATTTATGATATTAAGGGGTTTCAGTCGTATTTTGGATCTATTTGGATTTCCATTGTTTTGGTCCATAGCATCGCCGATGAGTCCTAGAAGGACGAAACAGCTGTATAGCGCAGTGTAATTCATTGTTTTATATACATGTACTCATTCACCCCTGGGGACACATTTGAACTCTTCCAATTCAAAGGTTAAAATAGTCCATCATGAAACTGCAGGGATGAATGAGTTAAAGGTGCAATTACGTGTGTGTATCATCTCCTCGTTCAGTATCTCAGACGAGTTCTAATCACTTTTTTTTCTATAAGACACTTTAAATTAATCTTCTTCTTCTACTACTACTTCTTCCTCTTCTCTCATTCTTCTTCTTCTTCTTCCTCTTCTTCTTAAAAGTAATTTTATTATCGTGTCACTCATTTTAGACAGTACAAAATTGTAAAACCTGTTAGCTATGTAGTGTTTTAATGAGGAACAATGGATTTCAAATTAAACAACTGAAATAAGACCAGGTGTTCCGGAAGGGAAAACCTCTTCTGCTTCATCGGTAAACCCGTTTTGTAAATCTAGATCTAATCTAGATAATGTTTCGTCCTCAAATTATTTAAAAATCAGTTACAGCAGTTAAGTAAATTAAATAAGTATTACAAAATTGGAGGTTTACAACCGTGTATAAAAACGTTAGTTTTTCAAGTTATCCTCCAAAATTAGCAGTTATACAACGACAATTATTTTCCCATTACTGTTTCGCCTTGTTGTATGTTATAGCCCAATGATTTATGCTACCAACAAGCATACGAAAATGTATTACGCATTCCGATGTTAAGGATGGTACATATTTGTTTACAAGTTAAGCTAAGTTTATGTACCGATACAGGATCTATAAAGATCAGCTTCACTGGACTCTGAATCACAAGATTGAAATATTTAACAATAGATGCATGTGACGTTACTTGGATCATTAACGTATCTCAGATCTATGATTATATAGGAGTTCCTGGTTCTCCCAAATACTTATCCAGACTATTTTGAAAAGAGTTTCACAGTCGGTGCTAATACCACATTTCCGGAAGATTGTTCAATATTCTTACAATTCGCAAGGCAAAAAAGTCTTTAGGATATCTACTCTAGANTCTATTTTGAAAAGTGTTCACAGTCGGTGCTAATACCACATTTCCGGAAGATTGTTCAATATTCTTACAATTCGCAAGGCAAAAAAGTCTTTAGGATATCTACTCTAGAATATTGCGTTATTGCGGAAATCCTTTCATTGGATGTCCTCTTGTTCCCTGTCTTTGTGATTTACCTTTTCACGTGTTAAAAAAATCCGTTGCACAATTATCGTAAACATTGCTTGTAATTTTAAACACCTCAATCATGTCCCCTCTTATTCTTCTGTAGCTCAGAGTGGATATTTTGAGTTTCCTCAGTCGATCTTGACATGATAAAACCCGAAATCCGAATACATTGTATCCTCCTAACTGTGTTTTATCCACAGTGTAAACCTAAATAGAGGTCATCACACTCTTAGTCACTTATCATCAATATCTCCAGGAGATCCCATTTTATATTTTAATTGATAATGATAAATCATATTAATAATGTTTGCTCATGTATTGAAACTGTAAATGATTTATTTTAGAGTGTCAAGACATGAACAAATATTATTAAAACCAATTGGATGGCCATGTGTAGGACTTTGTAAGGTATAGGTTTTTGACAATAGAAGATACAAAGTTTAAGTTCGCTACGAAAAAGTACTTGAGTAGTTGCAAGTTGGGCAGCAATCATAGACAATTCTTTTTAAAATCGTTTTAAAAAGGGATGTATGAATATCAAATATAAGCGTATGTAGGAATCTGTACTTTTTGTGTCTGATAGATATTCTGAATTAACCATAGCAAGTCACATTCAAAAAACAAAATTCTGTAACAGTAGGTTTTTTTGCAATATGGGAATGCTCGCATTTTCGTGGTGAGTAAATTTTCGCAAGTGGAAATGTTACCGATATGACTCCATTTCCACTCGCGAAGATGTCCACATCGCGGTCAGTTTAACGAGTCATATCGGTGACATTTCCACTCGCGAAAATATCCATACCGTGGTCAGTCTAACGAGTCATTTCGGTAACATTTCCACTCGCGAAAATTTCCACACCGCAGTCAGTTTAATGAGTCATATCGGTAACATCTCCACTCGCGAAGATGTCCACACCGCGGTCAGTTTAATGAGTCATATCGGTAACATTTCCACTCGCGAATACTTCCACACCGCGGTCAGTTTAAAGAGTCATATCGGTAACATTTCCACTCGCGAAAGTGTCCACACCGCGGTTAGTTTTATGAGTCATATCGGTAACATTTCCACTCGCGAAAAGTTCCACTTCTACAGTATCCATGGGACGAACATTTTTTTCACGTCTTTTAATAAAGTGAATGCATGCATGTATAAGTATAAACAGGATTTTGTAAGTTAAATTTTGAACGTCCGTGATCATTAAAATTAAAATTGTAAAGTGTACAATCAATGTTTGACTTGAACTTGTTAAAATAAAGATATAACTTTAAAATATGAAAATATAGTACGTAGAAAATAAGAAAACGATGTGTATTACACCCCTAAATTATATGAATTTAAGAAATACATGTAAGTGGAGCACTGGTTCTTTTTAAGTTAATAATAAAGACTGAAATGTGTACATTAAAAGCAACATTTTTTTATGATGAGACAACCTATGTGTTGTTTTAATCACAATTGTCTATTCTGTTGTAATTGGTCATTGATGTTTTTAACACAATTGCAGCAATGGGATGGACAACGCTTTATATCAATGCCAAATGTCTTGTGCTATTTTATGTCCATCATATATGAAAAGGATCTGTTCGCTTATTGCAATAAGCTTGCAAAGTGAAGTACAATACAATCATTGTTCAATGTGCAGAACATCGCGCTATCCGGGCTTTTGCGCGACATTCACTCCAAGGTACCTATTGCGAATTAAAACAAGGGGCCCAGATGGCCTGTAGCGCTCACCTGTTTCTTTTGTTACATGAAACTGACATATAGGTAACTTCAGACCAAATTTGGTAACTAGAACACAAGACATGTATCTCTTAAACGGTTCTTAAGATATTATTGTTTGAAATTTAAAGTTTGAAATTTAAAACCTTTAACCCACGTTGACCTTTGACTCCGGCTTGCACTTAAAGTTGACATTTGACCTCATTAATTTACTGTAATAAAGAAAACAATTCACACAGCTGGTCTACATAACATACCCAAGTATCATGACTTTAGACAAAATGGTTCTTAAGATATTGTTGTTTGAAGTTTTTAACATATTTTACCCCTGTGACCTTGAAAGTAGGTCAAGGTCATTTAAATGGGGAAACTTTATAGCACTCCATCCCCGGTACCTACTGGCCAAATAGTATGACCCTGGGCCTTATGGAACTTGAGAAGAAGATTGTTAAAGCTTTTAACCTATGTTGACCTTCGACTTCCGACTAGCACTTAAAGTTGAGCTTTGACCTCATTACTGTAATAAACAAAAATGATTCACACAGCTGGTCTACATTACATTCCCATGTATCATGACTCTAGTCCAAGTGGTTCTTAAGATATATTTGTTTGAAATTTTCTTTCAACAAATTTTTCCCCTGTGACCTTGAAAGTAAGTCAATGTCTTTTTAATGAGGAAACTTTACAGCACTCTAATCTAGGTTCCTACTGGCCAAATATCATGACCCTAGGTTCTGTAGTTCTGCAGAAGAAGTCGTTCAAAGAAAAAGTTGACGGACGGACGACGGACGGAGGTACGGCGGACGACGCAGTACGGCATAAGCTCAAATGTCCGTTGGGGCCAGGTGAGCTAAAAAATACTAATACACTAATTAGTATTTTTGTCTCATTTGGGATAGGTATCGATGGTTCTCTGTCGGCGAGCTATTGTTGCAATGTACATATACGGAAAATGTACTTATGTTTTGTTTGGCAGATATATGGCGATGGTATCTTTTGGTTTTTGTTGGAAGATAATAGAGTGCCGTAGTATTTTATTTTTTGTGCAGTTTATAGATGTGCGGATTGTTTGTGTTAGGCAGATATATGGCGGTAGTGGCTTTTTTATTATTTGTGCAGATTTAAAGAGGTGGCACTTTAGTTTGCTTTGTTTAGCAAATATATGGTGGCTATATGCAAGCCATGATCAGTGTAATACTGCGCTTATGTAACTTGGTTTATGGACACTCGAGAATAAAGGATCCGAGATCATCCGTGCATGACGCTGCGCATCGACACTGCTGTTGTGTTTTATTAACATTCCACGTCTTCCTTCCATCAGCTCGTACCTGGTTCACGTGAAGTACAGTCTTAGTCGATTCACATCACCGCCAGCATTATGAACAGGATGCCGAAATGTCAAGGCGGACAACACCCTGTGTTTTCAGTAGGAAATTAGAACCTTTTCTTCTTTCACATCGTTATTTCGACATATCACCCGTGTGTATAAACTGTATCACAATTTTCCTCAATATTGTGAAATAGTTGGTCTATCTTTACAGATATTTATTTGATATTTACTAAACCATCGTATAATTTCCTAAGCCTTTGAAAATGCGAGGGTTATTAGCTATTTGCAATGCACAAGTACTTTCAAATATCAATAAATTCTTAGAAAGACTAGAGAAACTGAACACCATGTACAATGTATTGCTATCCGCCATGTACAATGTATTGTTATCCGCCATGTACAATGTATTGTTATCCGCCATGTACAATGTATTGTTATCCGCCATGTACAATGCATTTTCATTTCAACAAATTTTATTTCATTTAGAAAAAGGATTGAACAACAGGCATAGCCTATATTAGTTCTCTCCTAAAGGTTACAATGGGTGTATAAATATATATATAATATAGTATGTTGTTATTTTTGAAATTTCAAAGTTGATTATTTTAAGTATGAAACATAAAATGTTTAAATATGAGATATGAGGTTGGAAGTAAGGACAAAATTTAAGAGTTGTTATAATATGTGAAATAGTGTATTCACTATGTTTTCCAAACTTATATTTTTTTTAGAGTCTCGAAACCAGCATCCATGACAGGATTCCCTCCACTCATGGGATACAGACCAAAAATGTCCATATTGGCTTATCAGCCACTGGTCATCCACCCATGAGTTTTGGGGCCAGTCATGGATACTGCATTCTGATTTTCATAGTTAAGATAATTAAGAAAGAGAGAATTTGGTAGATTTTGAAGTGGATTCAAATCAATATTTTGTAACGATTTGTTAATAAGAAGGTAAATCAAGGTGTTTTTTTGTTTTTGTTTTTTTTACTAAATGAATGACAAAATTGAGTAAACAGAAAGATGCAAAATGAATTTGTCCACCATTATGAGATTGTCCTTACTTAGTAATTATTCTATCACATAAAACAACAATGCAATAATTATAATGAATGATACATAGCTTACAAAACATACAAAATATATGCCTATCAGATCAAAAGGGGGAAAGGCGGCCATAGGAAAAAGAAAGGGTGATGATGAAACACAATGTAAATAATATCAAATCAGAAATATATAATGTATTATATATGTGGAAATCTATGTGTAGCTGTGATAAACGAGGCAGTACATTCAAATATATTTACATTGGTTTGTTCATCACAATCACCACAGCCAGATAGAAGTACATCCAGAGTGTAGTGATTGTGATTAACATCAAATAATTTATCCTTGAGGGTTTAACGTGGTTCATCATACTTATTACAAATGAGAAAAAAATGATGTACTGTTTCATGGGCATTACCACAGGTACACGTTGGTGATGCAGTAAGATGATCTCTGTGTAGATCAAAATTAAGGTTACTTGAAGAATTTCCAAGTTGACAGAGTATGATGTTGTATTTTCTATCACCTGCGTTAACATAGGTAATGTTTCTACTTTTGTCTAATAACATGATGTCACTTACAGCTCTTCTTAAAAGTTTTTTAAATTGGTATAGTGATGTGATGTTAGTCAGGTCAAACCTTGCTGCAAGTTCATTATAATCTTTAAGTGAAGACGGAATAAAGCTTTTGGCATAAGTATTTGTTCTGCACACAGGAATTGTAAAGATTCTTTCATTTCTTAATAGGTATGAGTTCATATTGTTGAAAAAGGGTTCAATTAATTCAGTTAAATAAGTGGGTGCAGTTCCTGTAAGAATTTTGTATAGAAGAATAAGTCTGTGTTTTTTCCGTCTTGCAGCAAGGGTGTCCCAACCAAGTTCACAATAAATTTTATAGTGTGAGGTTCCTTTACGCAGTCCTGTAATTAATCGAGCAGCCTCTATTTGGATAGATTCAAGTAAAGTTGCCTCCTGCTGAGTACAATTATCAAAAATGATATCACCATATTCAAGTATAGGTCTAATATAAGCGATATATATAGTGATTAGTGTTTTACGACTCATTTTATATTTTACAGATTTCAATAAATTTATACGTTTATACGCTTTATTATAAATAAAGTTGATATGGTGATGCCACTTACCATCTTCAGAAAAAAATGCACCAAGATGTTTATGACTTGACACATTTGCTATAGTTTCATTTTGAAAAATGATATCAGGAGATATTATATTTCTTTTCCGACTAAAAGTTAAAGATTCCGTTTTAATAGGATTAAAATTTATGTCCCATTTCTTAGACCATATATTAACATTTTCAAGATCACTGGATAGAATATTGGGTGCATCGAGTGGAGTAGTTTGTATAACCTTAAAAAGAGATGTATCATCGGCAAATAGTAGTTTCTCGTTTGTTATACATTCAGTTATATCATTTATATAAATTAGAAATAGAAACGGACCGAGGACTGATCCCTGGAGGACACCTGCACTTACCTGTCTATAAGATGAGAAGAAGCCTTCAAACCAGGATGCCAGACACGATCGAATGCCTTGCTTACATCACAAAATATTGATCTAATTTCAAGTCCTTCATAATTGATAAACAGTAGAGTCACCAGGAATAAATCCAGACTGGTATTTTGTTAATAGTTCGAATTCCAGTAAATGATTATATAAATGCTTGAAAATGATTTTTTCTAATATTTTACTGAAATATGAAGTAATAGAAATTGGACGGTAATTTGAGACATCATTTTTATCACCTTTACCTTTTTATATAGCATTAATATTAGCCCATTTCCAAGGCAGAGGAATATAACCAGATGACATGGTTTTATTAAATAACATAGTAAGGGGAGGTTTTAGTGATGGAGAAAGAATTTTAATAACTTTCGGTATAATTTCATCCGATCCTGCAGGTTTCTTATCATTAAGTACAGTCAGTTGATCCCTCACATTCTGTTCTTGAAATAAAATGTTATTAAGTATGTTAGGAGACTCAGGAACAGGAGGCAAAGGATCAATATTGTCAGAGGATGTTGATATGGCTGTAAAATAATCAACACGACATTCAGCTTTATCAAGTGGATGAAACAAAACAGTGTTATTGTCATTAAATGGTGGAATAATGGGTGACTTGTTAATTTTCAGAATAGTTTTTGTGGTTTTCCACCATTTAGATGATGAGACATTGGGATCATTTAGAGAGTGTTCTAAATTTTGTATATATCTATCTTTAGTGGTTCGTATTAAGCTGATGGCTTCATTTCTGATGTTCCTAAAATTTGCCCAATTATCTGGATTATTGGTCTGTATTGCTTTTTTATGGATTCTATTCCTCTGTCTTAGTTTTAACCTTATCTCGTTTGACATCCATGGCTTATCATTTGGTCGGATAGTAATTTTCTTTATAGGTATACAGTCATCTATAGCTTTATTTATAGCATCAAAAAGTACAGTATTAAAACCATTTACATCTTGCTGTTCATTTTTACCTACCCAGTTTATGTTATCAATCATCTGATTCATTTTGATAACATCAGCATTATTATACAGGAGAACATTTTTTGTATATGCATGTTGTCTAAATATAGAGTAAGAAGCACTGAAGTTGATTACAGAGTGATCGCTACAGATTGGAGGAGTTACAATTACATTTTTAACAATAGTATCATTATTGGTAAGGACAATATCAATTGAGGTAGAAGAATCCTGAGTTATTCTTGTAGGATCTTTTACATAATTGTACAGATTATATTTTGTTAAAAGTCTTTTTAAACGAGAGTTTGGCTGAATATCGCTCATATTTACATAAATGTCACCAGTAATAATAATGTCAGCATTTGTTCGCCTCGAGTCATCAGTTACATTATCTAGTAAATTATCAAGCTTGTTCCAGTAATCAATACTACTGTCAGGAGGTCTATAAATACAACCTACGAGGAGTTTTATGTAATCTCTGACCATAATAATTCTAAATCAGAAATCTCGAGATCTGGTCTTCATTTCATAATGATATTGTCCTTATTATAAATTATAATGCCTCCCCCAGGACGTAGACAGCGGTCTTTTCTGAAAACTTGTTTAGAAAAGTTTTGGAGTAATAAGTCATTGTCATTTTTTACTTTTGGAACGAACTTGTTTACCAAATGTTGACTAAGGTAATTTCCTCTATGATTGCCATTGTTGTCATGCGACAAACGCCTATAAGGGAATGTCATTTGATACAGAGAAATGTGGTGTATTGCCATGGTTGTTCCTGAATATTTATAATAATTTAAATTGAGCCAAGCTGTTTCTATTTGGAATATATATCCACGTTAACGAGTTCTTGCTGTTATTGATTTATATTTACATTTCCACCACACATTCCTTTATAAGCATTATAAGAAGAAATTACGATCATAAGGCTATGAACATTTTGGTAACATTAGGCTATTCCAGGAATCTTGTTTGCAATGACGACACAGACACCTCAATATAGAAAATATTTAGTGAATAATTACTATTAACAATGTAAATATACGTACTGAACATAATTTTTAAATGTTCATGCCGCTTCTAACATTGCAAAAAAAAAGCCGTTTAATCATAAGATAGCAACGTTTTTGCCAGTAAGGTGTCTTTTAAAACATATATAGCGGAAAATATGCTTTGGAAGCAGAAAAGATTTACCCTTCCTAAAAACCTGATTTATTTCCGTGCATTTTTTTTAATTGTCTCCATGTAAATCTTTCCTTTGTTCATATTCTGCCATAGTTTCATCTACTTCAATTTGAATTAGGGTTCGTTCAAACTTCGTTTTCCTTATATTTTCCGTCATATACAACAAAAACTTATTTGAGATTTTAAATATTCAGTAGATTTAATTCTTTTTAATGTTGTTTGATAAGGAGACTATTTTACATAATATATTAATTACACTATACATAATTAAGTTATTTCATTTTAAAGCCGTATTGTCTCATACACCGTATTGGAACTTTACATATTGATACTGTGTAAAATGTGTGATACGTCATTAAAATTGTTATTATCTTTTCCT